TAACGAATGCCAACATTATAATTCCTCATTACACTAGAGAGTAGAGAACATGAAAAAGCAGTCAATAAGTGGCAGCACCTAAGAAGTTGCCATTCTGTGTGCATGTGTGCATGCCCACATCTGTGCATGGTTGGTACGCTTCATCTATTGTAGCTCTCTTTTGTAATTAATCACGTTCTGCCATTCTGTGTTGGGTTGGGCTCACATCTGTGCACGCCCACCACTTGTGTGCCATGATAGGCTATCTATGTGCATGTGTGTTTCGGCAGCTTTTCCCAGGCTATCTTTATTTTTCTTTTTATTTTGACTTAGTCTATTTACACACTATCATTTAGCAATTAAGATATAACAAGCTTTGTTGCAGGGCTAATCTAATATGGTCGTGGGTGTAGTGGGCTTTGGAATAATGATCACGAGAGTTCACTTTTGGCTAAAACAGAAAATTATTATCTTAAATGTACTACAGTGGCCCCACTAAAGAGTCACTCCATCTGATTCATGGTGGGGTTATGGCAATAAATCAAAGGACAACACTGTCGTTGCAAATGTGGGCAAGTCTTATAAAAACCCTATTCTCTATGTTTTTCTCTTTTGCATTTTTTGTGCTTTCTGATGCGACTTGATTAGGCTAGATTGTTCATTAGGGGGCAGAGCCATATTCAAGAACAACATTGAATCAATGTGCCTTGTCCTACAAACTAATAAATTCCTCCTAATTTGTGTTTTATGCAGTTGCTTTTGCGCTTCTTGCTTGAGCACTATCACTACCTTAGCTTAAATAGAACTGTGACCCTTACTAACATTAATAAGGGATTAGGTGAATTCCTTTTTTTTTTTTTGATAGATAGGTGACCACGTATCAGTTTCTTTTCTTTTTTTATTATTATTATTATAGATAGGTGACCACATGTCAGTTTTTTTTTTTTTCTTTTGATAGATATACCACATATCAGTTTTTTTTTTACCATATATCAGCTTTGACATAATTTTAGGCTTATGAGCTTGGACTTTGTAAAAAAAAAAAAGCTTGGCCCAATTCTGAGTTCAGCCTAATAATATTTTATATAATAAAAAATATATATAATATTTTGGGAAAATTCCGAATCAGTAAGTATCCTGTATTTTGCCTCTAGTGATAATTTAGTCAACTTTAAAATACAATAATTCAGTATTCGAATTTTCAAAATGTGATAATTCGGTACTTATTATTAATGGACCGTCAACCATATGCGAATTAAATAATTAAAAAATGTCAAAATTACCCTTATTTATAATTTTCAAACCATTTTACCCTTTCTCCTTAAACAAATAAAAGAAGAGAAAAATGCTCTTTCCTCCTCAATCTTAGGTTGGAAGACCAACGATAGAACAAAGCAGCAGAGAACCAGTGGTGGTACCAACCTCCCTCCTCCATCCATCTCATCTGTCACGACATTCCTCATCGTGAAACCCCACTCCACCTCATCATTCGTCTCAATGACTTTCGTCGCTCGTACCCTCACCGTTGTCGGCGCTGATGTCTCCCTTCATAATGCCTCTGGATGGAACCCCTTACAAGAAGTCGTGTGTTGCCACAACTCTAAGATCGCTTTGAGCTCTCCTCCGGCTCCACCACCATTCTGCCTGGTCTAAATGGTGTCGTAGACTTCCTCGCCTTGTTGATGTTCTTCCGCTACTGTGACCCAATCCACATAATTGTTGGTTCTGCCATGATCTTGCAAGCAAAGGTCGTCTACAGACAAGGTGGGGAACCACCATAAACAATGACAGTTCACATAGGAAAAGGAAACATTCGTTAAACTCATCCATATATCCATCAGTCATTGTTTATGGTGTATATAATACAAGGGAATAATAAACCCTAAAAAAAATTGGCATCAACATCAACTAAAGTCGATATAATAAACCCTATATTAAGTTACATAGAAAATGGATAGAAACAAAACAGCAAAAAAAAATATTGTTCGTCTTCTCCGGCGCCGGCAAAAGGTGTTCTCTTCTCCAACGACGATGGGATTAAAAACACTTCCAATGGCAGCAAATGCTCTCTAGTCCAACAATATTTTTCTAATAAAATGGTGAAAATCTTTTTATGATGCTTTCCAGTGATGTTTTTCCCTTGATTTCAGCTTTTTCGGCACTATATTCCGATTATCAGCACCAGCAGGGAGAACTCTGCTTTTCAAAAGGTTAGGGCAGTGAAGAAAGGTTATTGTAGTGGAATTCTTTTTTGTCATTTCAAAAATGACTTAAACGTAGTTATGGAAAATGAGATGGGTATTTATGTCATTTTATGCCCTGATTGACACTGAGTTAATGCCATGCCAGATTGTCACAAATTAAAAGTTTGGGTACAAATTTGCTGCTAAGTATACTGATCGAGAATTTTTCCTAATATTTTTTTGTTCCTATTCTTTTCTTTTTTCTTGAGATATAGTGAGATGTTTCAATATTTTTGGGTTTTGAGTTTATTCAATATAAATAAATCAGTTTTATTGTTGAGTAAAAAAACATCTTCCCAATTTCCAAGAAGGCTTTAGGCTTTATATGAAGACCATGCGCAGGGCCAAGATCTAAGACCAATAGTTGAATCGAGCTTGGGAATGGGCCTAAATGTGTTGTGTTAATATAGAGGCAAAGCTCGGACAAACCAAGACTGACCAACCTATGAACGGGTCTATTGACCACTTATCACTTAGTAGTGGTGCAATCAAATGTTTTATTAGTCTTGGTTCATTTAATTGTATATATTATTTCTAAATTTTGTATTTACAATTGCACTCTTCCCAAACTGCAACAATACAACTCAACTTGGGTTGTGTTTGGAATCGGTGTAAATCAAGAACGATGTAAGAGTTTATGTCGATTTGATTTTTTCGGCATTTGGAAGGAATTTGTAATCATGATTGACGTGGTTCAGTTTTGCGTGCGTTTGGATGGAGTGGAGTTTTACGTCATGGATCGATATAAAACCTCATCAAGCGTAAAGTTTTACATAAAATTTACACCAATCACATCACGCTTTTCAAAAGTACAATGGTCACTTCTTCACGGTTCAATGTAAAACACCGTCGGTGTACTTTTACACCAATGACGTTTTACACCAATTCCAATCACAAGTAAACAAGTCATTAACTTACCTAGTCAACATAAAATAACAAAATGTTAATGACCTGATTATGTGCTCATGGTTCCTTGAAAGGAGCAAAAGTGTCCTACAATCACAACTAGACCTATTCATGGGCTGGGTAGCTCGATGGGCTGGCCTGGCCTGTTCTAAGTTGGGCTTCGACATTATTTTAGACCCATGGGCTCGGGCCTAAACACCGGGCCCAACCCTTTTTCGGGCCACGCTCGGGTTTTCAAAAAAGTCTGGCCTAAGTCTAAGCTCGACTTGATAATATATATTATATAATAAAAAACATTTTTATTTAATAAAATATATATATATAATATTTTTTATTTGTTTTTCTTCTCTTTTTTCAAGTAATAGTGAGATCTTTTATTATATTTTAGTTTTAAGGGATTTTAATATAAATAAAACACATTTTATTGAATAAAAAAGAAAAAAATTGTTTTCAAATTAAACATAGAGCAACACATATAGTATAGTAAGACTCCATCGGATATGTTACAAATGCACATGATGTAATTTGATTTTGATTAAGGCTTAGTTTGGGAAGAGTTCAAATACAAATATATATATATATATATATATATAGTATAAATACAAGGTTTAGAAATACCATATGCTTTGCCGTGAATATGTTTATTGTATTTGCACTCTTTCTAAACTGAATTTATAAAATATCATTGCTTTATAAAAGAAGAACAAAAGTGGACTCATAATAACTCAATAACAAGAATAGAAAAAAAAATAAAAAGAATGGTCATTTACTAGAACACCCCTATAGTTTTATGGATTTACTTAAACCTACCCTATAATTTTCATTTTATTAAAGTACCCCTATAGTTTGCGAATATATTTACTTAATCGACCATTCATTAAGAACTATTTGTTTTGTCATCTAAAAACAGTAACATGATCACCTAAACTAAGTGGAAGATGTTCAAGGGCATGGGCCCGTGGTTGTTTATTCCAAAAATACCCCTAAACTGGGTGAAAATTGGAAAATGTTAATGGTATGTACCCATGTTTATTTATTCCAAAAGTACCCCTAACACTTTTTCATATAAAAAATGAAATTAACCAAATATCGTAAAATAGAGTGGTTGTAAGTATCTTATTAGGAAACAAAAATGATATTTTCATTTTTAATTTATTTGAATGGAAATTAGAGTCAAAACTGTCATTTTCAACTATCATGTAGTGGAAGATCGATTGAATAAATTGATGATTGCAAAACATAAGAGATATTTTAATAAAACACAAATTATAAGATAGGTTTTAATAAATCCATACCAGAGGTGTTTAGTAAATGACCCTAAAAAAAAAGGAACAGTATTCAACAGCTTATTTAAAATTCTGACTTGTGTCTGGTAAAGACACTCGAGTTCTGCTCCTACCTATCTTTTAGGAGCCCTAAATTAAGTAGGATAATGTCTCCATGAGAAGTTACAGATGGGCTAGCTACAAGAATTGTAATGAATAAATTATTTCGCCACGTTTAATTAATTGTAACAATACCTATATTAGTCGTCTCCCCTTATCTGTTTGAACTTTGGAATCCATCTAATATCTACTACTTGTCTCTTATTTGTATCTATGACAAGTCGACAACCATATCAGTGTTGTGTAGGGTCAGTTATGCTTTCTCTGCGAAAAGCTCGCCTGCCAAAAAAAACGTTCAGCTTTGAAGTTTTCTCATATTTAAAATTGCAAAAATCAAAGGTTGGAGGAGATCCACGTATCAAATTTCATTAAGTGGGAAGGGATCAAGGGATAGATCATAGACAGCTCTGGCTCTTCCCTTCTTTTATGGTTTTATTTACCCTTTTTATTTTCCTCCCCACACTTTACCGCGAGTCCCTCTCCTAGTGTTCTTGTGCTTTGTTTTTAACTTTTTATTCGAGGTTTTTATTTTTTCTTTGGCAACTTCGTTTTTTATTAGGAGTTGGGATTTAATGAGGATATTCATCGATCTCTCCATATATATAAAAGAGGCGAGAGGCATGCAAGGATATCCATCTGCATCGACGCCTCCCTCTTCCCAAGGTTCCATAACTCGCAACCACTCAGCCAGTCAACCTGATCATCCATCTCCCAGCTTCCTGAAAGCCCATACAAAGAAAGATGCCGGCATCTTCTCTCAATCCCGATGGGCTCACCTCGGCGCTTCTTCCTCCCCAAAGGAAATCCGCCGGATACTATGAAAAGATGGGTGTCGACGATATGCTTCAGAAATACTGTGGAGAGTTCGGACGCTGGCAATTGAGACACTTCGTTCTCACGAGCTTGGCATGGGCCCTGGAAGCTTTTCACACCATGGTCATGATCTTCGCGGACTGGGAACCGGCTTGGCACTGCACGGGGACTCTTCCCGATCCCGGTTGTTCGTCGGCACAGAACGTCTGTGGGTTGAAACCGGGTTCGTGGGAGTGGATCGGCGGATCAAGGAGCTCTACGGTGTCGGAGTGGGGTCTCATCTGTGGAAAAAAGTATATGGTTGGACTGGCACAGTCGACTTTCTTCGCCGGCTGTATGGTTGGTAAGATTCATCGTCCACTCCACTCCATTCAATCAATCCCTCTTAAGTCTTAAGCTTTTGTCCACTTCTCTCTGTTTATCTTTTTTGTTCCTTTTTTTCTTATATCTTTCATCTAATCACTCCAATTTCCAACCAAGGAGGCCTAGCTAGTCTTAAGAATCTAAACAGTTGTAGTGTAGGTGTCTGTTTAACTTTTTAATTAATATTTAGCAGCAAAACCATCATTAAAAATAAGACTTCATCCTTCTTTTGGGGGGATCGCAACTCGCAAGTTAGTGTTGTGTAGCAGATTTGGACTCCGCTCCTTTGTCTGTATTGTATTTATTTATCATCATCGTCATGTTACTGTTTCAGAGGTTCCCTGAGACCTGAGAAGTAATGGTTGTTGTCACTAGATTGTAGCACATAAAGGGGGTGTTTGGTAAGAAGAATCAGTTCATGGATTACAGTTTCTCATCTTGCTACATCATATGAGATATTAGAACTCGCATATCTATAGGTAATTGTTTCTTTTGATTTTCATATAAATCTAGAGGACATTCTCAACCTGGGCTATTTTCAAAGTCATTCTTGACACGGAAGTGATTTGTCCATGTTAATCATGTGCTTCACTTTTTTCAAAGAGATAACTTCACTTTTATGATTTTATCCCATTTCATAATTTTTTATTTTATTTTTCAAACCCCCCCCCCCCCCCCCATACAGTAGCCCCTTTGTACTGTGTCAAACAGAAGAAAATTTGTGAGGTGGGGAAAATCTAAAAAAAAAAAAAAAAAACTTTGAGAAATTGATATGTCAGTTTAAATACCCATTTTGGGAGAAATTGGTGATTTTGCAACCTTAAAATTAATAATTTCTTAGAACGATGTAATTACAGTTTAAGTGATAGATTGACACAGTGCATGAATTCCCCTACTACCATTTGGTTATTATCATGCATTATCACTTAGAAACAAATAAAGAATATATTTATTATAGAGCAATTAATGGAGATTGAAACTTGAAAGTTGGGAAGAAGATATTATGTTTAATTGAGATTAGGTTAGCAAGATATTGAATTTAATTGCGATTAGATCAGCTTGATACTGTGCAGAAAAATAATGGAGGAAATAAAAGTGAATAAAGCAAATATGACAGCAAAAACTAAGAAAGCATGGAGAAGATGGGTTGGGGCACGCGAACTATGCTAGGATAATTTGTCTGTCCGTCTCTCTTCTCAGTATTGTTATGTACTTGTGTTTCATCATTTTGTCGTCTTGCTCGATCTTTACCCTTATAAAATTATGATGATCATGAAAGGAAGACAAATGAAGATAAATATGAAATTTCGTTTTCTTATGGAACGGCAAATTCTAGAACAGTTCCGTGGATTCAAAGAATTTTTTTTTTATTATTATTATTTGGTAAGATTATAAAGTTGAATTCAGTTTCAACTGAGTGCTTTTGCTTGCTCTTTAATAATTCTTTATTAGTGTCCTATATGCATGCCCTTATTGTTATTTAGGTGGGATGTTTGTGCCACTCCGGTCTTACATTGATGACTACATTACATTTTGCATCATGGATGGATAGTAATAGTTGATAGAGCAGGATTGCTACAGGAATGATAGAGCAGGAACTAGCTACAGCCTACAGGAAGAGAGATGATGAGGCATATGTGTTAAAGTGAGACACAGAGATATTATCTATCCTCCAGGCTTAAGCGTTTAGAGTATTGTTTTGAGGCTTAACCCCTTCTTTTCCTTTTTATTGAATTTTTCATGTAGACTTTTGTTAAAGAATGCCCATAAGCAATAGGCGATCTCACTCTTCAAGCCACATGTTAGTCCTAATGTCCTCTACATTGTTGAATTTTAGACTTACACAAATGCACAAGGTTTTCTTTTTTTGTTTTTTGTTTATTTTTCTTATATAATGTTAATTCAATTTGTATATGTTTATTATTTAAGTGTTTTAATTCTACATCATTTATGTGCTACATGTATATTTTCTATCCCCATGTGCTTGAAGTTTGTATGGTTTTATTTTACATATTTATTCCCAATCATTTCTTTAATATGTACCAAATCGTATCATCTTATATACTGATTTGATTCTTAGTTTCTAATATCTCTATAAATTACTATTTATCATTTGAATAATTTGGAAATCTTGGGTTTTTTTTATCATTTATTAGTTCGACTTAATTTTTTTTATAATCTTTTAAGCTTACAGCTCACTGTGCCTTGAGGATAGAAAGTTGTTTTTAAAGGGTTTCTTTCGATTAAAATTTAAAAATGCTTCTAGTTTACTATTTCTGAAGTATTTTAATATAAGAATCTCAACATGATTTAAATAACATAATTAGATATAACAATTAATATGATAATTTTTAAAATATGGTATTGTAATTAACAAATAACAATCATAAGTCATCAATAAAAAATTAAGGGGATGGAGTCATCAATGCTTGTGTCTTGTGAACCAGTTAGTTGTCAATTGGCACTTGAAATTTTGAATATTGATTGGAATCTTTCGACCTCCAGACATCTGTTCATTCATTGGGGGGTTGCATGCAACAGATGTGCTCTCCTGTTGGACGTTCGTCCATTGATGAATGATGAATCAGAAAATGCTGTCTCTACCTAGCTACCAGTCTACAACCAACCTTTTTTTCTTCTTTTGCATTAATTACAGCTCAACCAACAGTCTGTATTTTGTACTGTAAGAATCAGATTGCTAGCTCGAAATTAACTAGCGTACGTGTTACAACTTACAAGGGTGCAGCAGAGGATCAGGACTAATCCATGTATGTTGGGCGTTTCCCTTTTCAGGTGCTGGAATATTTGGCCATCTCTCGGATTCTTTCCTCGGGAGGAAAGGCTCTCTAATGGTGGTTTGCATCATGAACGCTGTTTTTGGTTGCTTAACGGCCCTGTCCCCAGCTTACTGGGTCTACGTCGTTCTTCGTTTCCTCACTGGCTTCAGCACGGGTGGTGTGGGTCTCTGTGCCTTCGTCCTCGCCACTGAACCTATCGGCCCTACCAAGCGCGGCTTTGCCGGAATGTCCACTTTCTACTTCTTCTCGTCCGGAATTGCTCTACTTTCCGGGATAGCATATATCTTCCAGTCGTGGCGCGCTCTCTATGTTGCATCCTCCGTCCCCTCTATCCTCTACCTAGTTGCAGTGATCCCCTTCATCTCTGAGTCACCTCGCTGGTATCTTGTTCGAGGCAAGGTGGACCATGCCATGAAGATCATGAGTAGCATTGCTGAATCCAATGGAAAACAGCTACCCGACGGGGTTCGCCTGGCCCTGGACGATGAGCTCATGAACGCCGGCGCCAATGTCTCAAACGACACGCAAAAGAACTGCAAGCAGGCAGTGACAGTGAAAGAGGCTGTTGCAACAGGATCCCTACTTGATGTCATCCGATCACCCCTCACCCGTGTGCGCCTATTCCTAACCATAGCCATCAACTTCGTGTGTTCTGTTGTATACTACGGACTCAGCTTGAACGTCGTCAACCTGAAAACTAATCTCTACCTCAGCGTGCTCCTCAACGCCGTTGCGGAGATGCCAGCATTCCTGATAACCGCAATTCTGTTGGACAGGTTTGGAAGGAAACCACTGGCGATTGGGACGATGTTGTTTAGCGGAGTGTTTTGCTGGGCGGGGGGCGTCGTGAGGAACTACGGAGTAGGGAAGGTGGTAAGGATGGTGTGTGGGATCTTGGGGATATTTGGGATGGCCGGGACCTACAACTTGTTGTTCATATACACAGCTGAGCTGTTTCCGACTGTGGTTAGGAATGCAGCACTGGGGTGTGCGACACAGGCTGCGCAGATGGGAGCGATACTGGCACCTTTGGTGGTGGTTTTGGGTGGGGGATTGCCATTTGCAGTCTTCGGAGCATGTGGAACTCTCGGGGCTCTGCTTGCATTCTATCTGCCTGAGACTCTGAACCAGCCGTTGTATGACACCTTGGCCGGAATGGAAGACGGAAGGATAGGTGTTTGAACTTTTACATATGTATACCAGTGAGAAATCAGGCTAGGCCCTGCTGCAGGCTGATTTTGTGATTTTATGCGCGTCTAGGATGAGCAAATTATTAAGTTTTGATCGATTTGGTTCTTCCAAATGCATTTCTGTTTTCTTTTCACCTTAAATGACGTACTACACAAACACAACAATGAGGAATTGATGCTGAGAGTACAATTGTACAAAGTAGGCGTTGACTAAGAAGTCGAATTGCTTTCGCAAACTTTGGCCAGCCATGTAAAATGTAACAACTCTTCCCTTCTGTCTATGAACATATCCAGTTCTGTAGATCTAGCAAGTTGAAGGAAAAGGATAAATGAGCACAGTGGCCCGGCTAACGCACATTGGGGAAATGTTATGATGCAGCAAGTGGCCTATGGTAAGAATTTTGTAATGTAATTTATTCCCATTCTTGCGTAAATATAAAATCGACAAATTTTTTAAACTATTCTTACTATTTAGGTAATTGACAAACTGTGACAATTGACTAAAACCTCCTTGGTCAAAGAGAGAGAGTGATTGCGCCGCTACTGGACAGTGGAACAGGGGAGGGCGGAATTACGAAGGATGCACCTGAACAGATATGCACCGGGAAATCAAGAGTTCTCTAACTGATGGTGTTCAGTTCGAACAACAAAGCTCTCTTTTCCCTCTGTTTTTCTTCCTCCCCCCTTCACCTATGTTTTTGGATCTACAAAAATCGTCGCCACCACTGCAACTTCCAAGAGTGGCGGTGATATTCTTCCTTCGCCCCCTCTCCCTCTTCACTTACCCTCTTCGTATCTCAGGAGCTCACCGGAAAACCAGCCTAGTTGAAATAACCCTCTCTGTCTCAACTCTGTTTCTCTCTCTCTCTCTCTTTCCCTCACTCGGTCGGAGCAGAACGCAAAGAAGATCAAGGAGTACATATCATATCTTGGAAGCTCACCGAAAAACCAGCCCAACTGAGATAACCCTCCCCTCCCAGCCCTCTCTGATTCTCTCCCTCTTTCCCCATACATGTTGAGATGTGCATGTGGAAGCGCTCGTGGAGAGATCACATCAGCGCCCAGTGGGGTGTTGTGGGGCACCAATGTGAAGTGTGAACTTGTTCACGAGGTGCCAATCTGAACTCACGAGGAATTCGTATCGGCGCCCCACACCACACCTGTCCTTGTCACCGTGCCGAGATCTGAATGAAAAGTTACATTACGTTCATTGACTAACAGAACCCACTTCGAAGTCCGGTCACACGTACATATTTTCCAAATAATTTGCCCAGTGAAAATAGAAAATGCCATCGCATAGAATGCTTTCCTAGTTGAAAAATGTAACAATGTAAGTTTGCAATTGGACCATTAATACTGTAAGACAGATTGAAACGAAACCTTTACCTTTCTTTTTCTTTTCATTTTTTTTGACAATAGAAAAGAACCAATGCTCTACCACTGAAATAATGAATACAAATTACAAAAGGATAATTGAACTGTACATAGGAATGGAGGGCGAAAGGAGCACAAGGAATGATCATAGCTCCCACATTAAAAGGGGTAGCTGTGAAATTAAAATGGAATAATCATTCCAAAACAAAATAGGTTGGTTAATAATTCCACTGCTCCTACTCAGTATAGCTCAGTCGTCCCACATGGCTTGGAACACGGGTGGTCTGTTCTTCAGCCAATGCACCATCTCCCTGTCCAGCGGAGATTCCTTAAGAACTGCATCCAGCATTGGACTGCCAAAAACATTTGGGGTGCTCTTAAATGACCATATTCGATCCTTCGGCCACGGTCTCTGAGGCTGTTTCTCCTGTTGGAATGAACATAACTTTAATGAGAAACCTATACTTGCCTTCCTTGGAAACAAATATCAAAATATTTAACAATGCTGCAAACCAGACAGTATCACTGCATTCCCAGCCTACACGGCTGGCTACATCCAACTTCGCCAACTGTCTTTCAATCCCAAAGAGAGATGTAGGCAAGTGACACAGAATGACCCGCCGCTCCAAATACTTCAATGATCAAAGGCTTAGATACTTTTTTGACATATTTTCTTATCAATGGATTCTTTTTTCTTTTCTGAAATATGGCATTAGTATTGTATTAATTCAAAACAAAAAAGATGCACAACTATCATCTCATATACAAAAAGACATCCTGTGTATAGTATTCCTGTTAGCAAATTATTAAAAGGTGAAATGGCCAAGTGTTTTCTTATAAGTAAATATTATCAACCACATGATCTGTATGCTATTTTGGAGCTTTCTTAAGATCTATTGAATCAGTGTAAACAATAGAAAATGGTCAGGGTTATCTTTTCGAGACAAGTTTTGGTGCAGTTGGTCTATTAAGTGGGTTCCTCGTTGATGTCTTGATCCCTCTAATATGGCACACCAAGGTATATACAACAAGGCACAGAGAGTACAGACCCGACATCCCATCCATCTCTCAACAATAGTGATCTCTATTGCTACCAAATATTTGACATGACAGCCAAAGGGAAGACTCCACTTCTTCAAAGCTTGCATTGGAGGCTCTCTTTGGCCACAAGATAGATGAGGTGGCAAGCCCAAAAAGTTTTTTTTTTTTTGTTTTTGAATCAATAACAAATAGGAATAAGCTTACAGAGTAGAGGAACTGAAGTATCTTAACTCCCCAAGAGGGTGGGCAGGCACCCAAAAGGAAAAGAACAATTACAACTGAGCCCAGAAACCAGAATCCCTATTCACCCCTTGCCTAGTTAATCCATCAGCAAAGGAGTTTGCATTTCTCTTTACCCAAGTACACTGAACTTCCATGTTCTTGATCAGCCATTTGAAATTTCTCTTTTCATTGTTGTAGCTCCAAAGCTTAGAGGTGTCTTCTTTTAGCCAGTTCACTACAATCTCAGAATCTCCTTCTATAATCAGTTTCTGGACATTCAGGTCTTAAGCCCATTGTACCCCTTCCAAAGCTGCTAACACCTCAGCCCTCAAAGAGTCTCCCACTCCAATTGGGCTAGAGAACATGGCTATTATATTCCCTTTCTCATCTCTTAGCACCCCCCCCCCAATACCCAAAGGCCTTGGATTCCCCATGCTGCTGCCATCAAAATTTAGTTTGATAAAACCAAGAGGTGGAGGGTTCCAGGTGGGATTCGAGGTCTTCTTAATTGAGGCAGAACTTGCAATTTCTTTCCAATTTCTTAACATATCATCCATTGAATAATCTGTGAACAAGTCCATTGTTTTCAACCAATGTATTGCCCTTATATGGATCACTTCTAGCATAGTTTCCAAGCTTCTCTCCTTTTCTGAAAAAATCCTTGAGTTTCTTTCTTCCCATATAGTCCAGCAAACAGCAGCTCTCACACATCTCCACATGATCCTTGACTTTTTTGTTGGGCAGTTGAAAGAAGAGAAATTAAACAAGCTTTGCACATTCATTGGGGAAATTCACCATTAATCCTCTTTACATGTGCAAGTTTGTAGTTAAATGTAAAAATGGAGAAAATAGGCAAGGGTCCACAGCAACTTTCCATCTGGCAAGAGGATATTGGGCTTATAGTTGACAAATGTAGATAGGTGCATGAGAAACAGATGGATCCTATCTAGCTCATCACATCAGGTTCCAACTAACCATTTATACTAGTGTACAGTTTCTATCTTCCCAGGTCATTTGTATCTGGAGCAGGTCTAGTCTAATAGACCCGTTCTGTACCTGATCAACCCATATTTTATCCAAATGATACCAGTTGGCATCCCACGTTTAGGTTGGAATTTTTCGCTAAGTGCAGACCTCAAGATACTCAGTAAAAAGTAAGATGCAAAGAAATGCGGTAAAAAGATTGACAGGTACTTACCATTCTTGCAAGCATAAATCTGAGGGTTCTTGGGCCATAGACACGTTGACGATGTGATGGCTTCTGAACCTTGGCATAGAAGGAGGCAATATCAGGCAACAACAAACAACCCCTTCTCGCCCTCCCTAGGCTGCAATCTGGATCAGCATTAGCTTGGTTATGCCAATAAATCAACTGCCCCAAACAATAATTTTCACCATATGTCTTGCAATACTCCTGGAAACCTGACCCCAACTTATCAGTATACTTGGGGCCCAAGTCTAGAGGACTAATGTATACAGGAGGAGAAGTTACAGTCCTGTATGCCTGCATGTGAAGAACTCTTTTTAGTCAAAGCAAAGAAAATCGCCTCCAGATTAATCAAATACAGGAGAACACTGCTACGAAATTTCAACTAACCCGAACTCTAAAAAAATATTTTGTATAAGCATAAAGGTGGATCAAATCAGCAGCTGCATCATGCCGACACTTGTATGTACATGGAAGACTTCGGACTTCATCCCTCAACCTTGTAAAAGAAGGGGGGTGGGGTAATGAGTGACAATCATAAAATCATTATAAACATCAGCTGTAAGAGACAGTAAACCACATTGCTTACCATAATAAAGATTTCTGCAGTTCTCTCCGGAGATCTTCAGATCCAGAAGGGTCATGCTCTCGAATCTTCTCTTTTAAGTCATTCAGCAAGCCCTCTTCCATATGAGGAGCCATGCACTGGACTAACTCTTCAACAARTGATCCTTCCCCTTTCCATAGGACTGAAACTACTGCTTCAGGACTAAGCTTCTCCAGTGGGGGTGGAGCTTTATTTGGGTCACCAAATACACTTCTCATTACATACCTTACCTATTAATATGAATTACATTCAGAAGAAGGCCAAATTGATCCCAGAATTTAATAACTTAATCATATCAATAAAATTCAGATCACATTGAAAGAGACAAACATTGGGGTGGGGTGGGGGGGAGAGGGAGAGAGAGAGAGAGAGAGAACCTCCCTCTTAAGTAAAAAGATTAAGGTAAGCACCTTATCAAGAGTAAGAGCCAAATTCTGAAGCCTCTGGTTATAGACCCCTTCAGCCTGTATCATGCAAAAAGAGATAAGACACAAGTTATTATACAATCATTCATCAACCCACAAGCATAACATTCATAAGCTTATGTCCACCCATGCATCACATAACAAAACAATGTGCAGAGTCTGCAAACATGCAATGAATGATATGATATAAACATATCTATAACCAACAGTCACCTGAATCTCAGCTTCATTTTTCTCAACTTCTTCAGAAATATCTTGGAAAAATTTCCTCTTCTCTTCCAAGTTATGCCTTAGAATCTCCTCAGGAAGCTTTGTTCTTTCAAAATTTATAAACCTCACCTTCATTCAAATTYGTATAAAGTATATTCAGAAACAAACCAGAGAAGCATCAATTCTGTGACAAATTATAAGGTAACAACATACCAGACGGGCTGAATATGCAATAAGCCAACCAGGTAACCCAGCAAGCAAGCAGGTGCCTAGACCAGCCCTTCCCAAGTCAATATAATCCTCCTCAGATACGGAAGTCAATTCACAAGCTTCTAGCATCAACTTATGCCGATCTAACATACCATGGCACTCCTTTAGTACCTGTAAACATCAAAATCTGGTGAGCAGCGGCTATATAATGTGACAAGGAACTTTGCTTGAATGATGTCCAACTATAGTCAATTAGCTGAGATGATACAGAAAGAAAAGCAAGAAAAAAAAGCCAGCATGTCAAATCAGGACAAACACCACCCTGACCTCACAAAATTAAAAAAAAAAATGATAAAAAGAAAAAAGAAAAATCACCAGTAAGATTCAAATAAAAAGAAAAATGATGAATAAGGGCAAACCAAACGATTAAATTTCTATTTTCTACCTTTTGAAAAGCCCCTTCACCAGTAAGATTCAAATAACTTCCCCTGCATACTTGGCTACCACACAAACAAACTGATGCTTCATACTCTTCCTTGCTCTGAAGCAAAAATAAGAGGTACCAATCAATAGGAATTAAAGAATACTCCTCCCAAGACATAATAGAGACAGACCCACGGTCAGAACATACCTCTGTGACAGAATTATAATCAAATGTTATCTCCTCACCATATGCAATAGGTCTTAAAGTATAAATTCCAATCTGGTATTGACCGTCTACAGCTGTAACCCTGTTGCCATGAAGTGGATAGATGAGTATACACTTCAGAAATCATTGCAAATTAAAATTAATCCTAAAGCACCAGGATATCAATGCACATAATCAGATCATTATGACTTTAGAAAACCATAACAATAATTGTTTTTAGAGCAAAAAGGGGAAAATTAAAAAAAAAAAAGTTTGTTTGCAACACATTGCCAGAAAAACATTTTTTGATACATAGAACCCACTTGAGTCTAGATTTCAGTAGGACCCAATTAAATATGACAAAAAAGTTGCTCCTCCATGACAATTCAAAGGCAGCCTAATCAATTTGCAAGCCCATGCTCCAAGAGATAGCATAGTTGATCCATGCAGCGTAATGATCATGAGCATTGCGGTTACATGAAACTAATTCTCATGGAGATGTTAGGCTGTGCTCCAAGGGCATTGCGGTTAATGATCATGAGCCAGTACTCCAAGAGATAGCATAGTTTCCTTCTGTCGTGTACCGCTTGTACACTTTCCTTTTAATTTTAATAAAGTTTTGCCTTACCTTTTTCAAAAAAAAAAGTCTCATGGAGATGTTAGATGAGATAGTAACTAAATTATAATACATGACTTTCATTTAGATGAGATTATGGGTTTGGGACAATTCTGGAAATGTTTCAGTTTAAGTCCTGCAATTATTTATCCAGATCGGAGGAGCAGAAAATTCCTGTCAAGATTGTTTGGTGCAAATAGGTGCCCACAAAGGTGTCCTTCGTGTGGACTGCCTACTTGAATAAAATCTTAACCAGGGAGAATTTGGTGAGAAAGGGTATGCAGTTGAAATCCACTAACTGTGTTCTCTGTGAGGAGCATGAGGAGTCTGTGAATCACTTGCTGCTACATTGTAGATTTTCTTTTGAGATTTGGTCTAAAGTCTGGAATCTTTTTGAGGTGAAAGGCTGCTGTCCAGAATCAATAACTGATTTTGTGAAAGGCTGGTATATAGGGGGGCTATCCAAGAAAGGAAGATTGGCATGGAATCTGACTCCTGCAGCAGTTTTTTGATGCATCTGGCAGAAGAGAAATGCAAGAATCTTCAAGCTTAAAAGTTCTTCAGATTCAATTTTTTCAGAAAATAGTGGGCAAAATTTTTTTTGGCTTTCTGTAAACAAGGTGCTTATAGATAGAAATTTCAGTTCTCTTTTTTATTATGTTAACCTTTTTTGTAGGGTATAGGGCTGCTTGGGCAGTGTGATGTAAATTCCTGTGTACAGCATCTTGTTGTACATGTTTTCTTACTTTAATGATATTTTTACTTTACCTGTTCTCAAAAAACATTTTCTTTGTTCCCAATATCCACTTCAACCAGAATTAGGTATAGCATTCGTATGAAAAAGGCTAGAAACTTCATTTTCTTTTGCCATAATTGCAGCAACAAATGGCAATTAATTAATTAAAATGAACTACTTATCTAATAGCTTTAGGAGAATAAAGCATTCGAAGTCAGCATTCCTTTTGGGGCATCCATTTACTATTTATTTGATATTGACTTGGGTGCTAGTTATGCCTACTTTCCAGTCAGTAATATGCTTGCACGGGGAGGGGGGCACAGGAGATCACTATCTAGCAAGTAGCAATTTAATGTTCTCCTATTACAAGTTTTTCTTATATTTTTTTACTGTCCGCTGTTAATAAATGATTTCAGATCTTCATTGCATTTTCTTAGTCTGACGATTAAATCCAAGCTGAGTTCCTTGCACTTTCTCAAAATCTGAGATTCAGCCAAACCTAGGATATGGAGTATGGTGGATGGTGACCAGGGGACATGGATTTGCAGTCATTCCAGGAAAGATCTCTAGCCTTCTCTTTGTATCCTCACTCAGGCAGATTAGAAGATCAACCAATGAAGTAGCTGAGTGCTTTGCATTGGGTTTCTACTCTACAAAGGTATATAATATTGGGAACAGGCATGTCTGGGTACTAACTAACATAACCCCTCCAAAATGATAGGGGTACTAACTACCGTACTGATTTGATTGCTGTTATATTTATTTTCTACTGATTTCACTAAAATCTGCAACAAATAAAACTACAAAACACAGTCATCATTCTCCCACTTTCCTTTTTCCCAACATGGAAACCAAGATATTTTAAAGGAAAGTTCACACATCAAAGAAGCAGCAATGGAAAATGAGTTAAAGCAAAAATACTTGCTGCCTATGCAAAACAAAAGTGGAACCACTTACTTTGCTTCACAATTAGGTCGACATGAATGACAAATCCGACTTGCATAGTTTGCTTTGTGCATGGCATCAACAACAACTAAATCATACCCATCACGATCACCCTGTAGGCGGGAAAATATATCAGATCAATATGGAAAAGGAGAAAAGGAGAAAAGGAGTAAGGAACCCATAATATAAATCAAAAAGAAAAAGAAGTTGCACACCTTTGGCCTCTCAAGATATATGTTGTAAAACTCTGGAGCTGGATCTTTATTGTTTTTTTGCAAAGACCTAATCCCATCCTGCTTCTCAAACCATTTCCATGCTGGATAAACCTAAAAACATTGAAAATACAATGCAAAAGAAGCTTGAGATCAAAAATAAATCTTTGAAGGACCCAGTCATGTTGATAGAAATAATTAGGAGACAGAAACTCCACAACAAGAATAAGCATAGAAACAATTAGGAAATAGCCATGCATTTTGTACCGCACAGACTAGTTGAAAACAGAGAATAAATAAGCATTACAGCATAACTTTGTAAAGGAAAGCAGAAAATCATACCTCCCCCAGAAACTCCACAACAAAATCATCTTCAGCAAAACCGCCTTCTTTGTTGCAAACAACTCCAAGCCCCTGATTGCCACGTTAATAGACAGGTAGCAAAAGCAACAGTAGAAAAACAAAAAAGTTTCAGTAGAAGTCAAGGCTGCAAAACCATCCATCTTAGAAAAAAGGCATAGACCAGGTGATATTTACATCAGAAAATATAGAGTAACAAAGTAAAAATATACCTTTCTGTATGCAACATAATTGTCTTCAGGTCGACTGTCAATAGCCTTCAAGATGCCAAGACACATTTTCAGAATGCATGCATCACCGCCTTGTTCAGCATTCGTTTTTATCTCTTCAAGAACAGTCTTCAATGGATACAACATAGGAGCATTTCCAGAACCAGTGAAAGATCTAACTTGTTTATTAAGTGTTCGTAGAAGCACATCTTCAATAAACAAATGCTTCTCCTGAAGTGACCAATCCAATTCTTCAGGCATTGAGTCAAGGAGAAGATTGTGAGTATAAGGATCTATACCATAGACTTCCTGCTCTAGGACCTCATCTCCCAGCTGTTTTCTAGGTCTGTATTCCTTCACTTCAGGAATTTCCATATCTGACTCATCCATGCCATTTTGTGCATTAAGCTTCTCTGCATAATCATCAGGTAAAGAAACGCACATCTTCCGTTTTACTTCCTCCTTATCTGCTACAATAACATATTGATCAATGACTTCATACTTCCGAGTAACAGGAGGAACGAGGCTTTCTTTCGTCATACGAGCACCCCACTCACGATCTTCACTCATTGAATCAAAGTTCTCCTCAGCTGTAAAATATCCTTCTCCTCTTAAATCTCCAGGTACACCCTCTGACCGGAAATCTAAGTCACTTTCTGTATCTGAGGCAGTACTTTCACCACCATTCTTAGCCTCATCAGAAGAATTGTCAGGTTCATCAGAAGTGTCACTTTCTGAATCTAGAGCTCTCCTATTCAATTTGGATAAGCGCCTTCTAATTTCATGATCAGTTGCAAAATCCCCGTTATCTGTACCACCATTGACATAGGATGAGCCATTACTCCTATTCATGTGTTTCCTCTCACTCACCATCTTACTCTGTTTCTTTTTATACTTGGAGGCTGATGAAAAAAACCCTGAAGATGATCCATCTTTCAATGTCCTCATAATTTCATCTCTTTCATGGGAGGACTTGGAGTTGTTTTCCAAACTTGTGACAAGTTGGATAAATAACATGATAATATGATTCATATCTCCAGCATCACCTCGAGTTTTTGCTCTGAATTGGTACAAAATATAAAATTACCAAAAAATGGTTGCAGCATGGAATAGTAAATATAAAGCAAGAGCAAAAGCTAGCAGATGGTTGCAGCATGAAATAGTAAATAAAAAGCAAGAGCAAAAGCTAGCAGCATATTCGATAAACAATTCATAGGCAACAGAAAGACAAGTCATTCATCCTATTAGTTTGGAGTGAGATGACAGACAAGAATCCTACTTCAGGTGCATGGAGACTATCCTATCAGCTTCAAGAGGCAAGATCTTTAGAACTCAGCTTTGACTCTTCATTCCATTGGGTATTTGGGCTCCCAGCTCAGCCAAAGTTATAGCTCTCAGCTTAGCAGAGTGGTAAGGAATGAGCTTTGTTGGGAATTTTTTTCCCTAACAAACTGAGACAGACCACTTTTTGCTATTGTACATTTCTACAGAGCCCTTGGGCTGCCCCAATCTCTGTCTTTTAGTGTGAGACTTTGGCCTTCTTTCAATATTTGATTCACTCTTAATGAACACAGATATTCACAGTTATGGATAAAAATTTGAAATTAGAAACATGTCAATGATAAAGCTGAACAACAGAACTTAGCACACATTTATAAAATTGTGAATTGTGTGTGTATCGAATGTGATAAAATATATCCCAAAAACGTATAGACAAACCCAAAAGGAGTATCTAGTGATTTTTCTGCAACTCCACTTAACCCGAAAGCCTGAGTTTTGGAAGACCTTGCCTCTTGAATCTTAAAGTGCCTTTAAATCTTATGTAATGCAAAAAGAATCAAATGCAGCAAGTGGCAAGCAAGCTTACTTTATTGCATCCCGGCACATCCGACTGATATCCTCCTTGACAGAGCTTAAGCCATGACCTATGTAATAACCATTCTTCATCCTATCTTCAATTTCTGCAACCTGATGCATTGAAATGACAAAAGAATACAAGTGATAAATCAGAACTTAGAAATTTCAAGCCCAGAGCTGGCACAGTTTATTTGCACGAACAGAAAGTGGTCAAACCTTAGGCACAAAGAAATCAAAGGTGTTCTCCTTCATGATGTCCTTCAGACTAACTGCAAGGAATTCCTCCATCCTCTTATAGCCATTTTCACATTTCTTGCGGAGTAAATGCCTCATATGGGCATCCCTTGATAGGAGAGCTGAGGACTTTCTGGCATCGAGTAATTTTGCACGCCTGTAAGAACTCTGTCGGAACGATTGGTTCATTAAGTCTCTTCTATCCAAGCTAGAACCATGATCAAAAGGATCTCCAGGCTCACTAAAATCATTCAGTTGACTACTTGTAGCCTTAAAAGGTTTAGAAACTGAGGAACTTTTCTCAGTTATTTGTCTGAGGCTCCTCATCTTTGAATGAGATTCTTCAAAGATCTTGGTGTCATGAGTACGGTTTTTGATCCATTTCACATTCTGAAACTTCTCTGTCAAATCTCTAAACTGACTGCAACCTCTAATATCTATTTTAGATATACAAGGAAACAAATGAAGAACTTCTTCAAGTTTCTCAGCACTAATGTTTGTGCAACCAAGTAAGACAATAGACACTATCTTTTCTTTGTTATAACCATTCTGCAAGCCAAACAAATAGATATATTTGCATAAGGGAAACTGTCAATTGATTAATAACCAATATTACTAGAGAAAGGAAAAGCCTACCATGATGTTCTGGAACATGGAGTCAGTGCAGTTGGGGCCTATGGATGATAAGTCAACTTTTTTCGAGATACCCTTGTAAAACTTGACTACAGTGTTCCAGCACTTACAAGTAGCAGCGGAGAATGCAAGGGCCTTCATATCAGCCCTCAGAAAATGGAAAACCCGAGCCAGTACTTTTCTACTTAGCAAACCCCAGCTCTCCCCAGTTTCAGGGCTTGCAGTATTTTCTTCATCAAAAGTAGCATCACCACATAATTCCTCGAATGAATAATCATCCTTCTGACTTGTAAGTAGGTCTTCTTCCATTTCACATTCTTCTTCAATCTCATCAATCAGCAGCCGAGCTCTTTTACTGACACGAATGCTGTCTTTACCATCATCATCTGTAGTATTTAAAAAAAAAAAACCATAAAAACAAATGGAAAGTATGAGATAAAACAGATGAAAAAAAATACCAACAAAAAAAAATCAACAGAATATAATGCGGTGCCACAAAAGATTAATCATCAGGACTGGAGAATAGGATCCTATCATGATTCATGCCTGCAAAATTTGACTTCAGCCTGAAATATGTTCCAAACTTCTAATGGGAGAGCTTACAGGTTATTGATTTACTCATATAATGATAAAACCACCCAAATTAATCTAGATAACATGACCCTCCAAGAGAATGGGATAAGATTAGATGTCAAGATCAAGTAGTTGGGTTAAATTTTGGCAGAAGGCATCCCTTGGACAGATAACTATTGATGAACGTTCTCTTCCCCTGTATGTATTCCATAGACGAGGCACCAAAAGGCAGCCTTTCTTTCCAACCATCTTCACATTAATACTTGCTAGAGAGAGAGAGAGAAAGAGAGAGGAAAACAATCCAGAAATACAAAGGACTTTCATACCTGATCTTCGGAGTGAGGCATAACCTTTCATTGTAACCGAAGTCAAAGGGTGTTTGTCCAACTCCTTCTTTGGCTGCTTGGCAGTAATCCATGGATCCAAGACCTCATTTATAGCAGCAGCAAATTCCCGGCTCTTGTAAGACTTCATTACCAACTCATGCAACTTGCCCCGAGTGTAACCAATGAATTGTGGGTGCAAGCTGTGAAATGAACTGATTGATATGTTGCTCACATCTTGTGATGCAATCTCTGATTGAAAAGGATTAGCTCCAGATGATTCGTCATTTGTTCCTACTTTTCCTTCTTGGCTATGCAAAGCAACATTAGATACTTGTGAATTAGATGTAACAGGAACCCAGACATTATCCACCTTCCTGAAAATACTGGTATAATTCATAATAGCACCTTTATCAAGCAAAGCTTGCAGCTCCAAAAACGATGACGGTCCATGTTCATAGCCAGCACCATCAAGGTAATACCAATCACCCAAATGCAACTGTAGCTCATCTACTGTGCAGACACGGTCTTTTGGAGTGTTTATGGGTATTATGCACTTCTGCAAACCTGGCAAGTCATGCTCAATCCTTTTGGATCGAGAAGCACCATCCAATGATGAATTCTTGCCGTCACTACTTCCAGATAAAGAACGAATAGATCTTGAAGAATGCCGATCACTTCCTCTAACTCTTATGCGAGTTTCAGAGATAAATGAACCATGGTCCTTGACAACACAAGCATTTATCCTGATAACTTTTAGCATAATCCCCTTCGCTCCTCTAGCAACTAGAGGCTTGGCTTGAACTGACCGGCTTACACCATTGCAATCATTCCTCTCATCTGGACAGGTAAATGCCCAGGTGGGTAAATCAAGTCTTCTGCTGCGAGAAGGAAAGTATAACTCATCTTTCCTATGCCACCGAGGGTCCTCATACCCAGATTTTGGCATCTGGCAAAGTGGAAAACCATCATTTAGGACAAGTTTCTTTTTTGATGATCTATCTTGGGAAGCTTCATCATTCCTCTTCCAATCACCACCCTTGCAGGACCACCGCACAGAAAACCAGTCAATGGGATCACCACTTCCAAAGGCGTAATCCTTATCATGAGGTGCAGCCAACCTAGTTTCTGCAACTTCTTTTGATATAGCATCAAAAGATCTCCCAAATTCCTCATCTCTTCGATATCCAAATGTCTCCCCAGTGCCAGGTCGGAACCTTGTAAAACCTGCATGTTCATACAAGAAATTATTCATCGTCTGATACAAACTGGAGTAGAAAATAATTGTTAACTGATCCTTGAAAACTTGTATAGGAATGACAGTTGTAAGGGATGCACTGATAGGTAAAAACAAAATTGATAACATAATAGTAGAACTTCACAATTCACACTGCATGATGTTACACTAAAGCTAGACCATCTTCTAAAATTTAGCTTTTATCATTTGAGCATGCTTAGAAATAGCTTCTTTGTAACACCCAGACAGCTAATTCTAAAAGACCAGCTGGGGTTGAGGCCGGTTGAAGGCAGACCCTGTCATAATGAACTAGAAGTTGCTGGCCAGAAAGGGGAAAAAAGGTTCAGTGAGATCCAGATTAGTGCCCTGATCCATTACACTAGTTTCCATTCCAGCAATTAATGCATTGAATAGAAAATTGACAGCCAAAGCACTAAAATCTGTGGCCACAAAACAAATTCTGGAAAGCTGCATAAATTTCAACTTACTTGTTTACTCAATCTAAAGATATGCCACTTACCTTAACCCCTTTGTTATTCTTGACTTTCTCATTCAATTGTCATGAAAGGCTGTGTTTAGATTGGAGAGTAGATTTGGTCAACTTTTCTCAAAAAAAAAAAAAAAGTTGGAGAGTAGATTTGTAATTGAATTCCACACACTCAATTCTTCAGAATTCAATTTAGTACCCTCTACTAGGAAAATAAGGAAAGAGCAGAAAAGAAAAAATTATTTTCGATAAGGAGTATGCTCCTTGCTCATTATGATCTGCTGACAAAATGGATCCAAAAGGTTAACATAGAGACTTGTGATATCGGTCCCCCAATTCCACCTACAAATATAATCCCACCCTGATTAAAAAAAAAAACAACTAAATTTGATCTTATTTCTCTCTCAAAATTATCTCCAGGTTCTGTTTGTAGACTCTAATATATATTGAATATTTCCTGAAGACATGTTTATTTGTGAAATGCCATTGTGCCATTGGATGGTACCATCTGGCTACCTAAAAGATTTCCTAGAACCAAAAACAAAGTATATGGTTGAATATCATATGAAAATTTTAATCATATGACAATTATCAAAAAAAAAAAAAAATCATATGATCATTCTTGTGCAAGCAATTAGGTGCGCTCTTCTTTGATCTTGTATACATACATAAGCATTATGCTAGTAGACTTCCTTGAAATATATTGTACCCTTTATGGGCAGTGCACCCAAATCACTTTCACAGCATCAGTCAGTCGAGGTCTAGGACCAAGTTGGTTGGTTATTAAAGTTTAATGAATTAAAAGTGTTATGTATAATAATAAAAACTATAAGAGGCTAAAAGGTAAGATAATCAGCTTGGTATTTCATAGGAACAAAGCCACAAACTATAATAGTTAAGCTTAGAGTTGTAAGGTTTTCTTTGATACTTAAATTTCCATGTTACTGCAACAATTGCTTATGTGCCTTCATGGTATGGTAAACTGCTTTACATAGTAGAATGCTCGATATCTCTTATTATGTAGCACATTACATAGTCTTGGTATAGTATAAAGGCCATTAAATAGTCTTGGTATCATTATCCAAAATTATTACATAAATTAATTTTTCTATTACCTAGGGCACTACAGAGGTCATGTGTAGACCTGTTCACAGGCCCAGCTTCAGGCTCAGCCCATGCAAATTTTACATTGCTTCTGGCTTGGGCTTTGGGCTGGGTCAATTCAAATTTTGGCAAAAGCTAAGCCCAATCCCAGCCCATGAACAGGTCTAGTCATGTGTTGCCTAGACAAGATTTAAGCACCATCGTTTCTGTCATTCAATCAAAAGTTCTATTTATGTTAGTTAGATGGCAATAATATTTTCCCCCACCCCAACCACATCAATCAGAGACAGTCTGGGGCACTAGATTCAAAAGCTTGGCACTGTTATGGTTCTCCTCTAACTTTCAAACCTCACTCTGGCCACTTGGGTAGTATTTGGCAATAGCACTGAAGGGGCCATATCAGCAAAAATTGCATAAAACATGGTTGCTACCTCTTCTTATAAAGAAAATAGCAATGTAACAACTTTCTCAGGTTTCGCAATTTGGTCAACTTCTGTAATCATAAGATAATGATTTCTGTTATTATAGAAACCACTATCATCAACAAATTGATGTAGAACAAGCACCTGATATTTGTAAAGACAGTCAATTAAGTATAAAACTAAAACTGGCATGCTGAAAACAGGTACTGGCAAATATGTTTCCACAAAACTGTTCTGAAAACAACACCAATATGAGATCTTACAAACACCCTTTGAAGCTGATTTCAAAACACCTTATCTTGAACCGCCAAAATCAGAAGCTATGAAATGCCACCTTATTTACTGGTCCCCTCATGCCAGGTGAATTTATTCCTATTTAAGAGATCCCATAGGCTAGACTTGATGAGACTAACCAACCACCCAGCATGCCCTCAATTTGTTTGTAGTACCATTTTACATCATACTATTCACATTATACTACAAGATTTAGCAAAATGTTAAGTTTTAGAAAGGTACTTGATTACTCAGAGTGAAGAATCCTGCAGTCAGATATTAGTGAAGGTGTGCAATAAGATTTATCAGAATAATCTGTCCAAAGCTTTAAGTATGTAGGAGGCATGAAATTCATGTTTCCCCACTCATCAGGTCTCAAAATGCCCTTAAGTTTGTGGTAACTCCAATATAATAAAGTCATTATCAAGTAATCAAATATTGACAATTTTCATTCAAGTAAAGAAAACAAATCAAGTTACATATACAGACATATACATATTCAACCCTCTCTATGTGGGCCACAGCCATAACAAATTACAAAATAGAAAAACTGAATCAACAAAAAAATGTGATAACATTATTGATAAACTTTGTACAATGCAGTGCTAGAACAGTCATCATATAACACTATATTGCAATTTGAAAGTTAGTTATTTACCCAGTGATAGAAACAGTCAAATAGAAAAGAACAGCACAATGACTAAACTCTCTCTCGCTCTCTCTCTCACCCTATTCTTTTTCCATTTTTTGGATCAATCTAAAGTAGTTCATATGAGTAAAGGCAAACCCAGAGAAATAAAATTAATAAAATAAAACCCAATGCAAAATAAGATGTACCTTCATGGCTACCCCATTTCTCCCAATCCGTGTGCTCAAAGGTTGTCTGTAAAATTTCTGCAAACCAAAAGAAGTGGAGAAATATATAGAATCAAGATACTCAACCATAAATCAAAAATGACAAAACATAAAGAATGATTTTTTTTTGATAAATAAAACATAAAGAATGATTCAGGAAAGCAAGAAAAATGGGAAAGGGAAATAAAACAAGAAAAGAAGAGCATACCTCCTATAGTCTCAAGTTCCCTTCCAGGAATAACAGTATAACCCCTTAACAATGCCCCAACCCTTTCATCAATGTGGAGATCTTCTAAAGGCTCGGATGCAACTATACTACTGGCGGGTCGTTCCTGCCCATATTGATAGAAAGATTGCCCAGCATCACCACCATCTTCCAATACATTTCCAGGAGCTTCAGGGGGGCTTACAAGCTTAGTAATAGAATCTGAAACAATTGATGAGAAGTTCATAGGCACCAATGGAGAAGCAGCATTTTCAACTGTCATCCACCGGTCACTCTCAGAGTGCTTTATTAAATGATCTGACAGAAGAACCCCTTCAGCAACAAGCCTCTTAAGGTCAGATAACTTAGAAGGACCTTGTTCAATACCAAGATGATCGAGGTAAAACCATTTTCCTGGGTTGGAATCAGCCATGAGAGGAACATGTGGCGGTGTGTCACATATATCCATGTCTTCTTCCATGGAGAGCAGCTCTTCTGGACCTCCATCAACTTGAGGAGGTTGTTCGTTGGCATCAGTATTTGGATTTTGCAATTGTTCTTCCTTGTGAGTCTGATCATTGACATTTTTCTCAACAGAACCACCACCACCGTGTGAACTGCTGTCCTGTGGTTGTTTACTTGAGGAATGCCTATGGGAATCTTTTCCAACAGAATCCACCTGGCCAAGCTTTTCTTGCTGTGCTTGGCTTCCATATCGACTATGATGTCCTTCACTCTTTCGACTGGTTTCCCGGTGATCATGGGCCCGTCCACGATCAAGTGGAGATCGTTCCAAGTAACCCGGAGTCCGGTCCCTGCGGTCATGGTGGCGCACTCGGTCATGTGGGGACCGCTCAGAATGAGCGGGACTTCGGTTCCTGTGATCATGGTAACGGGCCCGATCATGTGGAGATCTATCAGAGTGGACTGGACTTCTGTCCCTGTGATCATGATGTCGGGCCCGATCGTGTGGGGACCGCTCGGAATAACCAGGACTTCGACTCCGGTAATGTCTATCATGCACTCCCCTAGAAGACAAAAAGGAATCATGATGCCTAGAAGAATACCTGCTTGACGAAGAGACCCTTAATGAAGAGGAAGAATTCCTATGTGAGCTCTCGACTGAACTGCGAGAATGTTGCTTCTCTGGGTGGCCAGACCTGTTACTGTCCTCAGAAATCCTCCTGCTTTTAGAACCAGAATAATCACCATATTCTCCATGGTATTTCCGTGTGCCGGTCTCTGAGTCTGTACCATGCCGTTTCAGCCAACTTCCAGAGGAATACTCCCTTCCATAGCTCTTTCCATTAGTGTTTTCATGCTTATAGGAACTCAGTTCCTCGTCTATAGTTCTCGAACTGATTCTTGAGTCTCTCTCATGGTCCCACCTGGAAGACCTCCTTCTACGCTCACTACCACTCCTAGTGAAGTCTTTTCTCAGAGAAGCATCCTCATCCGAAAACTTAGTAGGAGGTGGGGTACGCTCTTGCTGACATTTCCAGCCCTTCTCCTTGGCAGTGTCATCTTTCTCTACTTCCCATTTCCGCCCTCTTCCGGAACTAAATTCATCCTTCACGACTTCTCCTTTTCGCCATTTTTCTGGGATAAACTCACCTTTCTCCAGTTCACCTCTCCGTGGTTTACCTGAACTATAGTCTGACCGTTCTGCTTCTCCTCTTCTCCACTTCATCGAATTGGACTCTCCCTTGTCTACTTCTCTCCGCACTTTTCCTGTGCCAAGTTCCCCCTTTTCTACTTCCCCCTTCCGCCATTTCTCTGGAACAAACTCTCCCTTCTCTACTTCCCCCTTTCTCCATCTATCAGGCACGAACTCCCCCTTCTCAACTTCTCTTTTCGGCAACTTATCTGGAATAAACTCACCATTTTCCAATTCTGCTTTTGACCCCTTCCATGGACACAGTTCTCCCTCCTCAATTTCTTCCTTCGGCAGCTTGTCTGAAACAATATCGTCCTTTTCTACTTCCCCTTTCTTCTCTCTCCCAGAAGCCAAGGCCTCCTCCGAGCCTTTTTTGCGCCCTTTGACTGAACCGGATTCTTCTTTCTCTACTTCCATCTTCTTCTCATGCTTTCGCTGAAGCTGTGACTCTGCAAATTGAAATGACTTGGAGCTGAAACCACCATTGCCTCCACAGAACGTATCTGGAATCGGAAATCTTTCCATAACATGCTGCAAAGGCACGCACGCGACTCCGCCATCGCCCATGGAAATCCAAGGACTGCAGAAAAGAACCCTAATTCTCCCCTTCCTTGGGGCTATCGATGCTCATACTGCAGATTCTTTGGCCGGATCAATCCAAACACCAAACTGAAACCCTAATTTGAACCAAAAATAAAATCATAAACCAAATCAACACGGAAATCTAACTGAAGCAATGTAGGGTTCCGGAAACATCGGAAAGAACACAAATTACACAAGAACCTCGAATTACAAAAGAAAAGGAAGAAAAAAAGAAACACGAAAATTCATAACCGAAGTTCCAAATCTCAAATTAAAAGAAAACAAAACAAAACAAAACCGATAAGAAAAAATTAAAATAAAACTCACGACGAAAACCGAAGAGCTTGAGCAGCAGATCCGTGAAGAGATTTCAGGAACTTCAACTGCAACAACTTAGGAAGAAACACTCATGTATACACGCGATCGACAAAAGGCCATGAGAGGTCTAAGAAGGAAGCTCTGACACCCTGTTTATCTCCTCTGTTCTCTTCCCTCCCTTTCTCTCGTTATTTTTTAGCTCTCTCACAATCAAGGAAACGAAAGTTTTCGTCTATAATTATTATTTTTTTTTTTTTCTTCCCTTCTCTTTTTTTCCTTCCTCTCTACCTTTCCCACCTAGTATTTATTCGAAGAACGAGAGAGGAGAAATACCGTCCAGGCTCCAGAGTCAGGCGTTAACGTATTATTAGACCACGGATCAATGGGACATACCGCATACGGACGGTCAGCGGGCAGGCAACGTACATACATAGAGGTTGCTAATTTGCAAATGCTCAATAGTTTCGAGCTGCCCGATCTTGGTGAATCGTATATTACTAGCTTTACCATAACATATTTGTGTTGTGAGATACGGATGACTTTTGTGTTTGTTACCGCGCCAAAATTACCATATGTTTGGGATTATGAGAGACATTTCGTTTTCTTTGGTTAATTTCGATGGTATACTATTTCACTTTGGAAGGGTATTTTGGTCAATTGAAACCTAATGGGCGCTCAACTCAACTTGATTTCTTCCGAGATGGAGGGAGAGGCAAAGAGTATATATATATTTCTTGCGCACCAAGTGATGGAGCCCGGGATTCTCTGTAATGTTTGGAGCCCAAAGTTGTTGGAGCGGAGTATGATGGTCTAACCATAACAGGTGAAAGTTCAAGTTGCTCTGTCTCTGCCTTGCCTTGTAAGTGCGTTAGTGCCTGTGCCAGATTCCATTGTTTTAAGGCATGCCTAGTGCCTGTACTGGTGTGTGCATATATGGGCAGGGCGGGAAAAGGGATCTCGGTTGCGCTCATATCGCCTCTCCCTTTGGTTTTCTACCGGCTTGGTCCAGTTTCTTGCCCATGGTTGGATTACTACAGTTCGCCCAACAAATGTTTAAATAAATAAGAATAAACTCCCAAAAAATTCCCCTGAACTATGGGAATGGGGATTGCATCACTTCAATATGGTGGTGTTCGTGTTCGATAAAATGTCGGAGATCTAGAAAATTTGCTTTTCTGCTTTTACATATATCTGAATGTAGCGGAGTTGTTCGGCAATCTAAATTTTTGGCATTTGAAAATATGCATTTTGCAAATTTACCCTTTGTATTGTTTTTTTTAAATAATAATAACAAAATTTATTAAAATTGTATAATGTAATGTTACAAAAAAATATTATAAAATATTAATATTTGTTATTTTTAATTTGTCTTCAAAATATTAATATCAATGTGCAAATATTAATATTATAAAATATCTTTAATATTAATATTAATATAAAATAGTATTTATAAAATATTAATATATTAATATTATATAAAATTATAATTGAACAAATGAGAGGTTATCTTCAACAGTTCAACCTCTTGCACAGTCGCACCACCACCAAACCGCATCAGTAGGTGTTTTACCTGAGTCCAGATCTCCTGCCCACGTTTATCGCAGCCACACATGGAGAACATCTCATCCTCTGCATAGTATTATGTAGGGGGAGATGTTCCCAATTCACGGGGGGTAGTGTGTTGTGGGTAGATGTGGGTGTTATGGGCCCGGGTGTAGGATCTCGTCATAGGTCGGTCTACGAGGAGAACCTCTTGCTTTCCCTTGCACCTTCCCTTGCGTGCAAACCCTATTGTGGAAAACCGAATGGGTGATTTGTCCAAGAGACCACCAGAACTCTCCTCACTCTTCTCTTGACTGGAAACTGAATACTTTATTCCCAAATCACAGCTCCTTAAATAGGAGATTACAAGAGGAGACTCCTTACTCCATTCGACTAAGCTAGGACAATCCAACTTTAAATCAAACTCCTACTTCTAACAGAACTCAATTCTTATCTCTAATAGATAAGAACATAACTAGATAAATAAGAACAGAACTCCTACTTCTAACAGAACTCAGTTCCTATCTCTAATAGATAAGTAAGAACATAACTAGATAAGTAAGAACAGAACTGGAATAAGTAAACTATTGGCGAGTTGGCAAGAAGAGCTGGCGTGGCAAGATAAGCTGCTGTGTGGGCCCCCCTCACTGCTGCTACCAGCGGCGGTAATTCTTCCCACGAATGCATCCACAACAGTGGACAGGAGATCCGATCTCATTTTACCTCTCTCTCTCTCTCTCTCTCTCATCCCTTCCCTTCCCTTCCCTTCCCATTCAATCACTGTACAAACCACCATGTGCTTCATCTAGCCCTTGTTTAGTGTCAATTCTTCAATCCAATCCAAAGCAAGGTTTAAAATTTCGATATGATATGCTTGATATGGGGCGTATCATATCATATCTTTGAAAAACATATACGAGATACGTATTGGATCTGTATCAAGGGTGTATCAATAGCATATCAACGAAAAAGATACCGCCAAAAATTGAAAAAAAAAATAAAGGGAGAAAGCAAGTTTCTTTTCCCTGAAATAAGCCTTCTTTCACCCCCCAAATGACTCTAAAACTCCAAACCCCATTCCAAGTGCTAGATTTGCAAAAAATTTGCAAGAAACAAGTGTTAATCATTAATTTTTTAAGATTTTTCAAATTTTGAAAAAATATGGCAAAAATAGATTAACTTTTCAATTTTTTTATAATATCTTGTGATTTCTTTTTCTCTTGAATGTTTAAATTTATGCTGATCTACATTTCTTACGTTCAAAATCACAATTTTTTTGTGTTATCAGTAGATTGATGGAAATTTCATGAAGATATTTGGGGAAAATATAAATTAACAAAAATTTTGAAAATATAATTTTTCCCTACCTACAAAGACTAAATATGTTTTAGATCTATGGATTTATCCATCATATCCATAGAGCAATTGAAATTTCTTCTTTAATATATATATTTTTTATTTTTTTATTTTTAGAATTAAAAATAAATAATAATCAATTATATTTTATCATTTGATCACAACGATTGAATATACTATAATTCTATAAATGATTTATCATATTCAGAGACCAATTGAAATCATCTTTAATAACTTTTTTTTATTTTTAAAATTAAAAATTAATTAATTAATTATATTTTATCATTTGATCACAATGATTGAATATATTATAATTCTATGGATGATCTATCATATACACAAAGCAATTGAAATTTCTTCTTTAATAATTATTTTTTGAATATGTTATATAATGTTTATTTATTTTTTATAATTTTTGGAAATAAATAATAATTATTAATTATATTTTCACTTAGAGTTATGCCAATGCATGTTTTATAGTTGGATAGGAGAGTTGGGCTTTTCTCATCCCATAAAACATTAAAACTTAAGAATTATAATTTATAAATTATAGTTAAGCATAGGATTTTTAATGAAATTATAATTAACTACATTTAGTGTTGTTGATGTAGTTTTATGATTTATTAAAGTATTTATAGTGTTTCCAAGCGTATCTATGCGTATCTTAGTTTTTCTCCAATATGCATGTGTATCCAAAGTGTATCCCGATACGTCTCTTAAAATTGTCTTTTTGATACATTTGGCATTTTCCGATACTTTGAACCTTGATCCAAAGCACCCATGTGCAAGTATGAACCAATATCTTCATTGTTGGTTCTCCATCACCATGAACAACTCAATCAAACAAGTTGAAAAATGACCCTTTTCTAAATGTTAGAGCATTGAACATGTTGCAATATATATTACTAATCGGAAATAGGTACGGAAGAGATGCTGAGAATTCGCTATTTAGAATCTAATAGTAACTTTCGTGTTGCTTTCCCTCTAGTGCCCTCCACAGTTTTATTTATTTCCTTTCAAGCAAGAACCTTAACAAATCGATTGACATGTGTAAGATCCAATGGTGGCCAATACCTGCGCAAACTTCGATACTAACGAGACCGACTAACTGAGATTGGGGCTAGCGTAAAACACGACACGCTTGCCAGTTGTGCCTTTACGTGAGGACTGACTTCTGACTGACGGATTGACTAATGCTTGATAAGGGTCAACGTGAAACGCGACATGATTGCCATGTGTGGAAAGTTGGCACCAACGTGACCGATTAGCTGCTACTATTGGATTGTTGGGGAAGGCATTTATTTCTTGAGAACCTTTTTCTTTAGTTGTTCATCATCTTGAAGAAAAATGCTACTATTGAATTGTTGAGGAAGGCATTTGTTTCCCGATAACCTTTTCTTTAGTCGTTTGTTGTCTTAGAGAGCCTTCTTCTTTTCGAATTCATCTTTCGATAGGAGCTTTTACCCGAGAACCTTTTTTTTGCCTTCTTCTTTTCCGATTCATCTTCCAAGATGAGCTTTTTTCCCGAGAAAGTTTTCTTTAGCTGTTCATCGTCTTGAATAAGCTTTTATTGAGGGAGCCTTTTCTTGCTCTAATCTCGTTATGCTGGAAGTTAGGTATACGTTTATAGTAATGAGGGAACCTTTGCTTGCTCTAATCTCTATCGCTCTCCATCTTTTTCCCTCTCGTTATGCCGGAAGTCAAGTATGCATTTATAATGGTATTTGTTAATAACCTTCTCTTAAGTCGTTTGTTGTCTTGGAGAGCCTTCTTCTTTTTGGATTCATCTTCCGATAGGAGCTTTTACCCGAGAACCTTTTCTTTGCCTTCTTCTTTTCCGATTCATCTTCCAAGAGGAGCTTTTTTCCTGAGAACCTTTTCTATAGCCGTTCATCATCTTGAATAAGCTTTTATTGAGGGAGCCTTTTCTTGCTCTAATCTATATCGCTACTGAGGGAGCTTTTTCTTGCTCTAATCTCGTTATGTTGGAAGTCAGATATAAGTTTATAGTAATGAGGGAGCCTTTGTTTGCTCTAATCTCTATCGCTCTTCATCTTTTTCCCTCTCGTTATGCTGAAAGTCAAGTATGCGTTTATAGTGGTATTTGTTAATAAATCTTGGTTGTGATGCCCATGTGTTTGGGGTTTTCTTTTATTTGTTTCTCTTTTGCTTAGTCCATTGCCTTGAAGAACCTTTTAATGAGGTCATGCTTGGGTTTTGCCATTCTGCTCTACCTGGTATTTGTATTTTGATGTGTTTCTCCTCTACCTAATTTTGTTATTGCATGCTTGGATTTTTCTATTCAACTTTGCTTGGTATTATATATTTTTATTATGTAATCTCCTTCACAGTTTCGTTCATTTATTCATCTATGTTAATAATTTT